TTAGCTGTAGATATGCACAAAATGACATTCTAGTTCAGCTCTTATGGAACATTAAAATTGAGAAAAATATGTTTTTGTTATACCCGAGGAAGAGCTTTATCATCTTGACCTGGAAGCTCATTGTATGTGCTTGGAGTTGAACTGCCTACCAGCTTGCAGCTACGCAACTAAATTAACCTTTTTCTCACCATCTTTTCCAGTTTTCAGGGCTCTTCTCACCAACCCACATGTGACTGCCTGCCAGGCAATCTCATCCTTTTGGCCCAGCTTCTATTCTCAGACTGCAGACTTTCTCTCCCCAACTTTCTAGCTCCTTAATCATTTATTTATTTGTTTATTTTAATGTAGATGCCAGCATTTCCTTCAGCTCTCCCATTTCCTGCTTTTGTTTTTACGTAACTGTCCTGGCTCCTCTCCTATTTCTGTTTTTCTCCCTGTTGTGACATGAACACTGCAGGTATAAAACCTTTCCTTTGGTGACCTCCATGCTGACCATGTTTGACTTTTTGCTCCTTTGTTTGCAAATCACTGTGTGCTACAGATTATAGCTTATTTTGGTTTACGTATTCTTGATTGTCATACTGAAGTTGTCCTACTGCTCATTTTCAAATATTAGAATGAAACAGTAAGACATTGCAAATAAAAATCTGGGAAATATTTTTCAGTTTCTTAAAAGCAAAAACAAGAAAAACATTCAAATCCAAGTTCCTGTATTTTATAAATTACTGGCTTTTCTTCTAAATGTCTACCAAAAAAAATTTTTTTTTAATCTTTTTGTTCTGGTGAACTGTGCCTTTGCTGAAGCACGTGCTGTCTTCCAGCTTTTGAGAAATTGGCACAATAAAGTAATGAAGAAGACTACAAATCTGCAGGCGACTCTTGCTTTGACGCATACTTTGATCCGGTTTTATTTACTCGACCTTCAAATTCTGGAATTTAATCTTTCTAATGAAACTGCATTCTTAAGGAGCCCATTCCCAGAGAACATAACACAGACTGAAATGTTGTGAAAGTCTTGGCCTGGAGTGGCAGGATTGCCTGTGTCAGTCCTAAATCTGTCGTTGAGATGTGCTAAATCTAGGCAACATCATTCTCGTTGTGTGTCTTTCAGATGTGTGCGTATTTACTCTCAGGCAGCAGGGTGAGTGCCAGCTGGGTGATCTCCTGGCTGTGCCTTAGCTCCGTGTACTCTGATCCGGGGAAGGGACCTGGCACTTCGATGTCACGTGGACTGAGCTGTATGTGTGTCAGGCCATAACGTTGCATCATTCACTGTCTTTGATAAAGCCAAGAGGTCGGGCTTGGCAGTGCTGATTTCATAATCACAGAATGAGGAGGATTAGGACCTTTAGGCAGGAATCCAGTAAAGTATTTATTAGTTCAGTCCTTAATAAGAGACTTTGAATAGACTGCATAAAATCTGTTTGCGCAGTGAACACTGAGACACCTGAACAGCTTTTCTCCTTAGACCATGTTTTGTTTTCGTAAAGAATTTACTGCAGTGCCCACATTGTAAAACCTGTAAGTGCTTAACAGCTGAACAAAGAGCACATGGAGCAGTAAATGTGCCCCCTTGGTGCTTTTGTCCACACACCCATGTGCACATACAATACACACACACACACACTTATATACAATAGCAGCGGGAGGAACTTGAGACAGACTACTTAATCTTTGTGTTATATTATTGCAAAACATTTCAAAGAAAGTAAAAGACTATATTTGATGTTGCTGTTCTTAAAACATGTTTCTAGAGAGTTTCCATTATCCTGCGTGTTTGACTTGGCCTTGGGCCCGTTATATCCCCGGGAACTATGTGGGAAGATGAGGTCCTATACGAAATGATAAAAATAAGCATATTGAAGTCCTAACAAAAGATGTTATTAGCCTTAAAGGAGCTTGTTCTTTAATGATCCGGGTAAAGATACTGGAGCCAAGTTCTTCTTTCCTGAAACTAGCTTAGTTTCACTGTAAGGGGGCTGCATTGGCATGACTGAGTAGAGGATCTAGACCAGTACTTTCATTTATAGGGTAAATAATCAGTTCTTTAAGTAGGGGGTTAATAGTAGGGAGTAGCATACCAAATTTCCCATGTACTGGGTTGAAAATGTTTTGCACAAACCATCTTTGAAGTACTGCATAGGCAAATGAGTTGGCCTATTAGCATATGTTTCATGTACTCTTTCAAATAAAAAGTAATGATTTGAGCCAAGAGTTTTTGGTAATTATTTCTCAGTTGTTTCTTTGCACAGCTGGTGCTCTCTCTTTGTTCTGCCTTTTCTTTATTTCAGCAATATATTTCAGCAGTATATTTTCATCTGATCTTACACTTCTTCCTCCATAAGGCCTGATCACACTTGGAGGATACCCCCCAAGTCCTGAGGCTAGAAAGTGAGTTGATGCTCCAGGAAAGCCTGTTTCATCTGCTTGGTCATGAGCATGGTAGTGTCCATTAAAATCTGTGTATCCTTTTGAGAAATATTTCCTGTATATTGCGTGATTAAGGAGAAGTAGTATGTTTATAAAAACATGACATTTTGCAAACTTTTGCAAATCCTACCCTCGTGTTTCATTTTCCCATCTCTCTCTCAGACAGGAAGGGAAGGTAAAGATAAAATTGAGAAATAAAAAGTTCAAGATTGCCCACTTCATAGATGTGGCTCTGTAGCCCTGTGGTCAGTCTCCAGATCAGAGTCAGGCAAAGTAGGTTCTGTTCCTCATTCTGCACCTGGTCTGGTTGCCCCGTTTCCTATCATGGCTTGTTTTGACCTGATTTCAAGTTGCTAGGACCTATACTTTTGGGGCTTTTTTCTGTAAAATGAAAAATGTAACCAGCCATCTCCGAGTCTATAATGCTGTTATTGCGAACATTTATGTGCAATTAGGGGAAATTCTATTTGCAGGGCTACTAATCCGAATGATCCAAGCACAGTTTTAAAAGCAGAATTTAGGTTTGTTGTTGTTGTTTGTTTCCTCCCCGTTTTTTGGTTAGTCTCCAGTTGAAGGAAAGAGTAGGAGTAAAGCATTTATTAATCTTATTTTCTTGTCCTGTAAAGCTCTTCAGAATCTCTCAGGCAGGATACCTGAGAGCTAGGCAGTGAATTAATACTACTATTAATGTATGTAAGCCATTTTTCATGCTATGAACAGATTCATGCCTAGGGTGCTGTATGTTCACTAACTGCTATGGCATGGGAACAGGTGTGATCATACCTCCTGTTCTTTTTAAAAATAGAGTAACTGGCTAACCCATTTTTTATTTGCTTAGGAATAACACTGCACACAGTGAACTGCCATCCCTAGTAACCTTTTTAGATGTTCTATTGAAATTGCAGGCATTTATCTGTTCACACCTATTTGTGCTCTTCACAATAGCACCTTGGAACAAATTAGAGAGGAAACAAAAGCAGGTAATTTTTTTTTCCTGGCATCTATGTAAGAGAAGCCTTTTTTTTCTGTGTGCAGTTGCTTGACATGTGTATGGAGAACTGTGGCCCAAGATTCCAGTCTTTAGTTGTGAAGAAAGATTTCTGTAAAGACAAACTAGTGAAGCTGCTGAATCCAAGATACAACTTGCCAATCGACATGCAGGAGAAAATCCTGACATTTATCATGGTAAGTCTTGAGTAAACAGTGTGTATTTGTCTCTGCTATATGGTAAATATTTAATGATGCAGCACATTGCTGTGTTCTAATGTATTCATGGGAACCTCTTATTAAAGAGGACCTGTTGCTTGTTCTTGCTGTGCCTGCTTCATGCAGGAACAGCACAGTGAGATACAAAGAGAGAAAACCAGAAATAATTCTGGAAAACTGTCCAACTCTGCCTTTTGGCGTTCTCCTCCCAATTCGTGTAGGCAGCTCCCTCTGTGGTTGCACTGAACAAGCCAGGTGAGGAGAAACTTCGAAGCTTTAAAACCAGAAATAATTCTGGAAAACTGTCCAGCTCTGCCTTTTGGCGTTCTCCTCCCAATTCGTGTAGGCAGCTCCCTCTGTGGTTGCACTGAACAAGCCAGGTGAGGAGAAACTTCGAAGTGGAACTACTGACTCTCCATTTTTTTGTGATTGTTACTATTCCTGCTTTTACCAAACCAGACATGGGCCAGAGGGTTCCAAGGAATGGTGGATGTGAGTGAAGTAAAAGAAGTTTATCTGGAACTGCTGAAGAAAGGTGTGGAATTTCCGTCTTCTGACTCCAGCACACGGGTATCTAAGGTGAGGATACATAAGGATCCTGCATAAGGATCCTGCATTACCCATTGTAAGTCAGAAACAGGATGTCTTAATTGTATGGGCTCTGTAGACAGAAGGTGTGTTTGTTTTGTTCTGAAATGCTCCAGGGCAATCTATGACCAACTTCCTTAAGGACGTGAGTAGAAATCAGTTTCAATTATAACTACTAAGATCAACAAAGGAACTTGGCCTAAATAATAGTATCTTTATTTCATTTCAAACCACAGATGAGTGAATGTATTCTCAAAAAGGAAGCATCTGTCTCTGGGGACTTTCAGAGCATTTGAAGGATTTGGGTATGCTTTTTACATCAAAATGAATGAGAGCCAAGTATTGCAAACTCATCAGCTTTTGAAAGTCTCCACTAAACTGAGTAAGATCCTTCTGAAAACAGTGTCATTCAGAATAGGGGCAATATGTATGTTTACTTTTAAATTGAGAAGGGTAGAAACCTGTAACAAAAGCTTATCTATACATCTATCCAGATATTTGCAAAGCCTGCATGAGGTAATCTCTACCTTCATTATTTAAACCTGCATGTCATAAGTATTATTGCATAGTATCTAGGTTGCATTAAATTATAAATATGGCTTGAGCATTGGATATCAGCTGAAAATGCAGTATACTCTTTAGAGGAAATCTTTTCAGAATTTGTTTTCTATTAGAGATTATTTCACAAGACTTTGGAGAGGTGTGAAACCGTTGGGTGGAACCTTGCAATTACAGAAGTAGATCTATAATCAGTGTGCACAGGAATGGTTCAGAGTTATCCTGTGTTTGGTTGGTGACTGAATAGCAAAGTGCACAAAAACTCATTTGGGACTGTTTGAACAAGCTCTATAGAGAATGGTTTCAATAGAGACTTATTTTTCTACACGAAGTATAAAGAAGATGACTTTGCCTACCGCATCTAGTTCAGGAAAATCAGTAGGAAACCAGCAGACCTGAAGGCAATGTTTGGCTCAGAGTCAGAAAATAAAGAATCAGAAATGTACAGTCTTGTGCAAGTTTTTTGTACTGCTGTTAATTCAACCCAGAATGCAAATGAAGCTCTTTGCAGTCCAAGTTTTCCAGCTTTTGGATCCAAAAAAACTTGTTAGCATTCTGCCACAGAGACCTGGACCCTGTTTCTGCTTACACATGTGATCCTATTCTAAACCATATTTTAAAGTTACAGCCATGTTTTAGGAGGGACTCTTCTTTCTGTTACATAGCTTAAGAGCTCAAGGAGACATCTTGGTCATTCCCAGTTTACCTTGGGATGGAATCTTTTGCAAACTCACTCATTTGAAAGATACCTGAATTCTAAGTCTGATTTCATTACAAAATAGCTATTAGATTTATTCTTGTAAATGTAACTTGACAAACAAATTCCTTGAGAGTCTTGACTGTGAAAAAACTAATGTCCAGTTATCTAGTCTGATAAAGATGCATTGTAGCGCTCTGATTTGGATGCTGGTTTCAATTCTTCCATTAAACTAAAGCTCTGGTCTCCTCTCTTTCAGCAAAAATCATCTCAGCCTTCTGCAAAGACCTCCCCATCTTCCACTTCCCCTGCAAAACGTTCTTTATTCCCTCATCCGACTGGTCCAACGTTATTGCTGACTTCTGAGCAGGTACAGGACTAACAGATTTGGGGGTAGGAGATCCCACTAGCAGAATCCTGCAGATGTGTTTATGATTTCCACAGCCGAGTGCATAAGCCACTAGAAAGACCCATCACTTTAAGTGGCACAGCTCTGTATTCAGCATTCTAGGTTTGTCCTATCCTGAAAATGCTTTTGTGGTGGTATGGCAAAGCAGAGTATGAAAAAGTAGGTTGAATTAATGCCAGAGCATGGCTCAAGTGGGAAATGGAATCATTTACTTGATCATGAAAATTTCCAGTGATCTTTTATGATGATAGTATGCAAATTCATAGAAGTTACTTCAAAGATAAGTGAGAAAAAAAACTTATTTTTTGCCTGAGAGTTGTGCAAAGAATTTATTATAAAAAAAGAGAAAGGAAAAGACAGTCTGCTTTCATTTCCATTTGTGTTGTAGATAACTGAAAAGAGCAACAGCCTTGTCAATAGTAGGAAGGCTTGCCTGAAACCCCTGAAAGACAAGTAGTAAATTCAGATTTAAATCTCATTTTGATGGGATGTATAAAAGCCAGCCTAATTCAATTTATTTTCATGGAGAGACACCGGAGTGACAGTGCTAATTAGGCCTGTATTTTACTTGACAGAGAAGAAAGTAAATATTAGAAGTAAGAATTATTTTCGCCACTCTGTTTACATACACAATATTCTGTCATGTTGAACTGAACAGATTGGGAAACTGTACAGTGAACTGGATATGGCAAAAATGAATGTGAAAGTCATGTCATCAATATTAAAAGAAAATGTTCCTGGCTCTGAAAATCCGGATGATATGAATCTTTTACAGGTATGCTACCAAATTCATTTGGTAGGGTCTGTTGCTTTGTTTTGATTGATGTTAATTTTAAAATATACACTGTGTCTTTTCCTGTGACACATGTATTCAGACTGCAAAATAGAAACCAACAGCAGCTTTCTATTTCTGGTGATGTTCAGCTTTCTCCTTTCCTTCACCTTCCCCTGACATCAGGATAGCCTGGCAAGGACAGGGCAGCTTGCAAGGTAAATTTAAGCTCTGGGGAATTCTGAAGGCAAAGGAATACCATAATAGAGGGTTCTCTGTTAAGTATGTTCTGTCAAACAGCCCCAAGAACATTCCAGTTGAACGTAGCTGCCCTGTGGGAAGAAATGATGACACAATCTCTCACATATCCATCCTGGAGTTTTCAGGGATCTCTTTATTACTGCCAGTCCCTTCAAGGCAGACTGAAGGCCAGTGAGGAGTATGAAGCATTGTTTTTTATGTGCATGACCTCAAAGACTGAGAGCTTGCTGTGCAACAAATGAAGGCACGTGCTCTTCAAGTGTAGCCTGAAGGAAGTATATTGCAACAGTCAAGTTTGGATGTGACGGTGAAGATACAGTCTTCTTTTTATGATGTCATTATTTATAAACACTTTTCTGAGGCTGTATTTTCTACTTTAGAAACTTAAAGTGCTATACTACCCTAGCGTTGGAGTAGCTAGTGACCTGTACCAAATGGACATTTTTCTGATTCTTGTTTTCTACAACAATTCAGAAATTACATCCTTTTGTTTCTAAACCTACCTTCCAACTCATATGACAAGGAAACATTTCTCATGATTTGTCAACATTAAATATATTGGAGAACTGATTAGTTTCCACAGCCTTTAGGTGTGATTCTCCTGCCCAGTGCAGCATCCTTCCTCAGCAAGGAGCTCTCGCTGAGAGGTGTTGAGTTGACTTCAAGGTTGAGCTATTTGACTGTGTCCTTTTGTATTGGCTCACAACTGGTGAGGACTGTGAGTGTGAAAGGTGTGGAGGGACAGCAGCAGTTTCCTGTTGCATCGCACCATTTTTGGCAGCAGCACTGTTGGTCTGGGGAAACCAGACAGCCCTTATGTCCATGGAGAGAGACAGAATCTTTCCCTCAGTGCCTTCTGTTACCCTTGAAACTCCTGGCACCTCCAACAGCGTCTCTTCTGCAGAAATCTGTGGAGCTATAGGTGCAAGGAGGAAGTGTCTCCATAGCAAGACAGCAGGGATCTGAACGGAGTAGCCTTTAAGTGGAGGCAAATAGCTGTTGGCAGTAGATTACAGAGGCCTCGCTTTACCTGTGCAAGGAGTTCAAGAGAGGATGTGGCAGCAATGGGCACCACCTAAGCAGCTGGTTGCATGCACAATGCTTTGCTTCTGTATTGCTGCTGCCTCTTACTGGATGCCAGGATGCAAATTGGTCTGGATTTAAGCAGCCAAAGATACCCCAGGTAGGAGGTAACGTTGGTTCATTGCACTTGGCCACCTCCATTCAGTCCCTGGCAGGGTGTTTCACTTGTGAAACAGGAAAAGTGTGTCTTTCATTTCCAGGCTCCTACAATGGTCTTCTGGACATGGATGCATATATTAAGTTGCCCACAGTAAACCAATGGATTCTTATTGACACTCCCAGTAATAAAAATGTTGGCAAAAGGTTGAGGACAGGGCGTGGAGTTCCCATTCCTGAAGGAGGGAATAAAACTCATTCCTCATACATTTTACTGTTCTTGTTTATTTCTGTTCCTTTCTGTTCTTCTCTATCGAGACATGTAAAGCATCAGCATGTGTTTCTTTGGGTGTTTACTATTCCATTTTGTTTCTAGTTTACATGGATTACTTTCATTAGGGTTTTGCTGTTAGAGAACAGAGTCCATTATGAAGAGAGTTGCTTGTTTTAGGCTTTGAGTGAGCTGGAGATGATTAATTTCTGTCCTTGTGATTATCCTGTGTCTCTTAATAAAAATTATAACGGGTTAAACGACATCAGAGCAACATAATCTCAGTTCTGTTCCTCATCCCAGTTTCAGGCAAAGCATGAGACAGCAGATTCACTTGAAATATTATGTTAACCAGTAACAGTAATTAAGCAATAGCTAAGAGCCCCTGTCAGACAGAAGGAGTAATAAATGCTTTTAGCAGCAGGACAGGCAGAAATTTGGATCCCAGGTCATCAACTGGGAAGCATTAGCCCAAATTCATTGCAATTGCTGATCATTTTATTAAACCGATAGCCCAACCTTGTGCAATTCCAGCTTTCAAAACGTAAGGGTCGGTGCACTGGTGTGGACAGGAGCAAAACCACACAGTGATTGAGATGAGTGTTTGCCTCTCTTTTGATCATAGTGAAGAGAGGAGAGAGAAGGGGAAAAAACAAGTTGACTGAGTTCAAGTTGTTGTTGCTAAAGAATTTGTTCCTTTGAACATGCAAAATCAGCAGGGAAAGAAAAATAAACTGACTTTCATTTCAGCTGGCGGTAATGTAAAATTCTACTCAGTAAATCTCCAGTAATCTCCTATCTGCTGGTGCTGCCAGGTTTGTGTTACTTTCTTAAAATGTGCTTGGATTAAACACATCCAAATTATACTTAGAGGAACAGTTAGAGCTAGGGACTTGTGTCACAGAGCCCTCTGTCCTTTGGACTATTGATTTCTTTCTTCAAGCAAGGCTTGAATCACATTCATTAAATTCATGTGAAGTTTCCTACAGAGTTTAATTCCGTAGATTCATGCTCAGTTCAGATTTTCTCTGAATTCCCCATAGAGGTTGTCTTTTCTTCTCTGTCTTTTTTTTTTTTAATTTGTATTTGTAGTTTAGTCTTTAGAGAAAAATGGGCCTTCAGAAATGAAGGTGGGTCACAGCTGGGGGTAGGGTAGGGATTGGAGTGCTGCCTGCAATGATAGAAGTTGTCAACCTTGTTTTGGAGACATCAAAGACATGAAAATTACTCTGTTTGCAACCCTTGGTATGTGTGTGGTTTGTTTAAATTAAGGAATGTTAGCCATGAGTCTGCAACACTCAGTTGCCTTATCATTCTTCTCCAGAACTGACAAATGGGGAAACCACAGTTATGTTTTTCTTTTTTTTTTTTCTTTTTTTTTTTTTTAATTCCCCCCACCTTGGGCAGAAACTGCATAAGCCCTGCCGCTGGAGCAAGTGAAGAGAAGATCACAAAAGGAGAAAATTACATGTTTGCCATCCCCTGTACTTTTTCAGAAGTAGTTCATAAAAGTAGTTAGAAAACTATTAGAATGGATTAAAACGAGTTAACAGTGTGCACTGGAAATGAGACAGAAGACTATGCAAAAACTGTTCTGGAATTTGCTGTTCCTTTCCTGTAATGTGCAGTGGATTTGCCATTAGTCAGCTACAAGCTCTTTCTTCCTATGGAGTCCTCCTTTCTGTGAACGCGCTTTCAGATATTCACCCTCCTTTCTAAACATCCTGGACAGCTTTACTGCAGAAATCAGCCATGAAATAGCATTCTGCCTCATTGCGTGCTTGAGAATTACTGGCTTTTCTCAACTGAATTGAAACAAGCTGTCCTACCTGTCTTACAGGAGAAAATGTTTATTCTCTCACACACGGAAGCACTACAGTGCTTTGTGTTGACATCCCACGTATTGGTCTATTATGTCATCGGTAGCATGGCTAGCAGTTAGCAAAAAGTAAGTTCAATTCAGACTGAAAATTCCAGCATTTTCCCCTGCAAAGTCAGAGTGTGTATAATCATGGGGAGCATTGTGCTTTAATGGGAAATAACCTTTGGTGGTGTTCTAAAAATGATTATGCATCATGGGGCAATGGTTAAGGAACAAATTAAAGACTTTTGCTCTATGCACATGGAAGATACGATCTTCCAAGGCCATCTGAAGTGCTGTTTTGAAGGTTGAATGGATTGAAGTGCTTTATCCATTACACATTTCTTCATCCTTATCTCTTATGGCAACATAAATTGCCTTAGATAGATGGGCTTGAGGCCGCCATCCTCTGAGTGCTGTAGCTTCTGACAAGCATTAGAGGTGTGGAGACCTGCCAGCTACCTTGATCTAACACATGGAAGTAAATAGTAAGAGAAATGCATTGAGAGGCATGAATGGGGAGTAAGGAAGAAGAAGAAAAGGGCATTTTTAACAGGCATTTATCCTACCAGTTTTTGAAAAATCGTGATAGGCCTCTGTTTGAATTGCACAACACAAAGTAAAAGAAACAAGATTCAACAGAATTTAACCAGAGCTTAGAACCCTGACAAGTAGATCCATTGCTGTCCTTGAAACTCCTTTTGAGCCAGTCGTGAAATTTCACTTCATTCTTGTTGTTTACTGTAACTCTGGGCTTGGTTCTGCTTCTGGTATCGTTTTCACAGAGAGCAACTGCATGCTCCAAGATTTGTTTCAACTGGAATACTACCATATGTGTTACCATGTATTTTAGGGGTTTTGAATATTTCCGTAGTTTTTCATTTTAGTAAAGTACATAGAATTCTGTCTTCTGTGAATCTGCTTTATTCAACTGTGGGCTTACACTTTTATTAACATTAATGAATACTGGCAATGCCAGGAATCTCCTGAAGTTTGAATAGTAGCTTGTGGTTCTAATTCTACAAATTCCTTATGAAAGACTCGCCCAGTGATTGAAGGAGCAAATATTTGGCCATTGTGAAACTGGAAAGAAAGCTACTGCAGTTTAGTACAATTATGTTAATTTTTATATTAAACCAGTCCTTCTCGGTGCAGATGCACTGCACTGTAGAGTTGGTCAGTCTGGTCAGCACGGGGATTTATTTGGTTCACATTTGCAACAAAACGATGTATTATTTGGGAATCTCTCTAAGCAGGGTGAAGTGCAAAGTACAAACTAGCAGCTACCTCGTGCTGTTTTTATTGTTTGAAGACAAGTTATGCTGCATTCTCTGTTTCTCTTTATTAATACAGAGTAAGGATTAAATTGGGAGCAATCATCATTGTGCAATGAACTGCCTTAGTGTGCGTAGCCCTGACTCCCTCTAGCGGTTCTAGCAGCTTCTCAGTTCTTACTGTATCGTGGATAACATTGACCTTCTGAAGCTGGAAAGTTTTTGCCTCTTTCTCTTCCTTGCTTATGTTCTTTGTAGGCCTCACCAGTAAGATAACCGTGGCCTACAAGTGCAGTTCTGTAGACAGTCTCAATATAAGATTCTACTGCTTAAGATCCGTATTTCTGAATGGCCTTGTATGTGTCAAGTATCACTTACCTGGGTCTCCTCTGGATGCGGTGTAGCACTTGTTTTTGTTCCCAGTACACACACTTTTTTTTCTTTTTCTTTCTTCTTGGCAGGTGTTCTTCCATCTTTCCTTTTTTTTTTTTTTTTTTTTTTTTTCCCCTCCAAGTTTCAAAAGGCCTCTCATTATTCCAGACATATGTCCCAGAGTAGGTGTGCAGTGCACCCTGGGGAAGGGCACGATGGACTTTGGAGCACAGAAAGCTTCTTGGGATACATTTGGAAGACTGTTGTGGTCAGAAGAAGCCAGACCTGGCACAGGATGAGTTCTGAGTTCCCTCGCCTGTCTGGCATGAGTACAGCTGCACTTAACTGTGCTTTGGTTTTATTTGAAAGAAACAGATGATTGTCTCCAAAAATGAGGCCCGGAGTAAGCAAACTGGCATTAATGTGTTCAGAGAGGACCACAGCACTGGAGCAATAAGCTAATTCACTAGTACAGAGATAATCACTGCAGAGAAAAGCACCTGTAATGCATGTCCTGTTCTTCTCTGGAGTTCTTTGGAATCAGCCTTTGTCAATAAAGGCCAGATTTTTAAGAATGATGTCACTGGATTGTCAGAATGAACACTTAATTATGCAATTTCAACAGGTTCTCTCGAAATAGAGTTCGATTTCTGGAGAATCAGCGAATACAACGTGAACGGGAGGAGGTGAGTGATTGTAGATGTACCCACAAACTGCAGGGCTCTAAGTGTTTCTTTCTATTCATTCTGAGAAATATATTTTTGATATACACAGATTTTTTTATTCTCTAATTGAGAGCTACAGCTTGCTGTCTTCAGTAGGATGCTTGCGGCTCTATTGATTTTTCAGAAGTCTCACTTGGACAATTCCATACAAGCTCATATAGCTAGTAATGTCAAGTCTAAGATGGAAGCTTGGTAAGGAAAAATGAGAAAGAAAAAAACAGCAAAAGAAATCTGTTCAAATGCTGTTTTATCCTCTGTAAAGCTAAGTACTATTGCCATACATGAAATGAGAAACCATAATGTTTCTTTTCATTTATTCTGTGTGAGCATTTATAGACTAAAATACACTGTTACACCATCAGAATTACAGTTACTGATGCTCTCTCTCCCCTCTGGCAAGTTAAAGCCTTTTCAGAATTTTGAAGAATGGCTTGTAGATGCATCTCAGCAGATCTTTAATGGCTGTCCTTTATTGATTGGTAATTATGGTTGCTAATATGTTGCCCAAAGTAATTTTGCACATGTTCCAGCTTCTGCTGAGTCACAATTGCACAGTCATACAGGACTTGATATGAAAATGACTGTTATGAATGCCAAATACAGCCAATAATTACTAAAGGAAGGTAGAAGACAATCTTGTTTTCCTTGAGAAACTGCTATTACTTCATGCTGTTTTGTTTTGTTTTGTTTTTCTTAATGGATGCAGTAGATGGATACTTAATAGTCCAAGTGATGCAGTCTCTGCATCTTAAAATTATTCAGGAGTCATCAGATTTAAAATACATCTGTTTTTTTTTTCTTTTTTTGATCTGATGTGGAGAAATCATATCGTTCAATGATGTGGTTTTATTAAGTCTTTTTTTAGAAAAAATCATTTTTGGTTGTTTGTTTCATTTTTAATCCTAATAGGAAACCATCTCCTAAAAATAATTGCATATTGTCACTTAGAAAATTGATACCAAACTTGTAACTAAAGATATTCACATTTATATTTTGGAATTGAGTCAATTCCATTTCCTACGTTGGAACTGTATTTCTTAATTTTTGAAATGGTAAACTTGCTGAAGCTTCATTTTTTGGAAAATGTTCATTTGTTTCATTAGCTATATTGCTTTCAAAACGAAACATCCTCTTCTTGTTGACTGCTATCCAATTCTTAGTAATAAATATATTACGATTTTGAAAGTTTATATTCTGTGAAAATAGCAATTGTATGTTTAAAGCTATACAAAATTTATTTATTTTAACTTTCTTCCTTGTTAAATGTTCAGCTGTACAGGAAGCAGCCATCTGCCCCCTCAAGTGATCTACTTGACCTCTCTACAGATTCTCCATCTCCTGCGTCAGCAGCGGTGGCACCAAACTCTGAGATGTCTCAGTTTTCAGGCCATAGTGAGTGATGAATTCATATTTTCCTTACAGACTAGTTTCTTAAAACAAACCAATAAAAGCTTAGTGGAAGGATAAAGAAGTTCCTTGTAAGAAAATAAACCAGCAGACGTTTTAGCTTTGAAGAATGTGAGAATTGATGTGTATAAATAGAAAAACAGATGAGATAGTATTAAGGGCCTCTGGTTACAGTGGAATCAATAATCTTTCTTCTGCATTACTGAAATTGGAATTCAAAATCTTCCTGGAGTTGTAATAATTTTGTCTTCATGTTTAAAAAATAGAGTTTCAGAATTTTTATATGCTTCCCTAACAAAACTTTACTCCCCACCAAATGCTACATTTATTTAGTAATGTTTAAGTGATTATTAATTGTCGTTTTGTATTTTAGATTGTATATCTGCACGCCCTGAAGATACGAAGAGGCACCCTGCATCAATTTATCCACAGCTAGATTTAGCAACTACTACAAAACCCCAGCAGTTCCCGTAAGTAATCTCTTATCAAGAGATGGTAGCACTAAATGGCACTAGATAACAAGATAGAGAGATCTGTCCTATGCAATTGATCCAGTGAGTTTATGGAAAGCTCAGGGAACACAGCTAGTTAATACTTTTATACATCCATTCAGGAAATAAGGAGGAAGAACTACCTTTGCTCTAGACGTAACTTGAAAGGCTTTTATCTCAAGTGTCAAAATACACTTAAAGTATGATTTTCTGCGTGAGTAAAAGGAAGAAACGGATGAACTGTAGAGGTCAGTAAGTTAAATGGGTTAAAATGGGAGCAGCTTGCTGTCTTTTACACAAATGGGACACTTGCCCACTTGCTCTCAGTTGTGACATATGAAAAAAAAAAGACAAGCAAAAATATAATGATCAAAATATACAGTAGTAATAGTTTCTCAGTTATTTTCTATTATTATTCTCTCCTAGGCTTGCAAGCAGTGCACAAAACAATAGTGCAGGCGTCCCAGCTGGGCATACATATAGCAATGTGAGTACCAGTCATATTCAGAATGATCATTCTGCGATGCGAAATGGCAAAAGGAGAACTGCTTGGGTTTACCTTGATTGATACCCAAATGGGATACAAAGATCTACCTTATAACCCTTCTCCATAGATCAGAGAGTGCTCTGTCCTTGGTGACCAAGCTGTGCTTGATATCCCAGATTGCTCCTGTGGGGACAGGGGGTATATGCTGCAGACAAAATACCAGTGGCAGAAGGAAAATAAAGAATACGAAGGGACTTTAAGGTGTTTAGTGTTAAGTATTTGAATGTTATTCTGTGGTAGGCAGTATGAAACAGAAAAAAATGAAAAACAATCCCCCCACACAGACACTCACACCTCTATTTAAACAGCAAGTAAAAGCAGACAGCTGTATTCCAATTACTGCAGTCTGAGTCTGTGTAGTATAATGAAGCACATCCGAAATAAACTGCAGAGATGTGCTATGGATAAACCTAAGAGATGTTTTGAATGTTAACTTTATGGAGAACCTATGTTAGTTAGACTGATAAGCGTTGACCTGATCTTTGGGATTTATCTGCTGTAATCTGAGACTCTGAAGTCAATAGTTATGAAACTAAGTCACAGTGGTTCTTTACAGATCAATCTGTTAATGCACTGTTTTGCTTGATTTCCTTAGCTTACAACTGTTTTAAGCCACGTGCCTCTGAATCCAGTAAGTCTGCAGCCTGGACATACAACATCACTAAATGGAGCATCACCAGCAGGTAAAAAATACTGCAAACCTAACTTTGATATGGGTGTTAGTGCTTGTTAGTGCTTACAAGCTTTAATGGTTGTTAAAGACTAGAAGCAGCAACAGTGATTGCAAAATCACATGTAGTTTGTGGTCTGTCTTGGAGATGCTGGAACATTTTAATATTTAAAGCAGCAGATACATAGGAAGTAGACTTCTGGTTTCAGAAGAATTTGGAAAAGTAGCATGCATTAAGCACACCTGTGATTTACATTTAAATATGAATCAATCTGTCCATCTTTACCCTTCAGCTGCATCAAAGAGCAAGTCACAGGCACCTCATTACTATGACATAATGGAATTTGATCCCTTGGCTCCCAAAGAGTAAGTAACTTTTAAAATAAATTATTTATAGTTTTCTTAAGTGCCAGAGGCAAGAGGGCTTCTTGGAAGGGCTTTTCTTCTGAGTTAGAAAACATGCCACAGTAATTAGGTTGAGTTACCTGACCAACTAGACTGGAGAACGGCTGCGTTTTGTACAATTTCTTTTAATGTGCCAGGTGTAACCAACCAAAGGCTAAACTTTTTTAGTGTGTTCATTAATCAGCTTCTGTAGAAATGATGGACTGTGTCAAAAACAATCTACTATAATCCTATTCAATGACATGAATAAATTGAATAAAACACAGTAAGGGACCGTGGTGAAGGGGCTGTTTGGCGCTTTGGTGCAGATAGTTTTGGAGCTAGGTAAGTAAAGCAATGCCCATTCATGACAATCTTGATTTTTAAAAACGTTCTGTTGAGTCTGAAGCAAAAAACATTATTTAAAACATAAGCTACAAAAGCAAATGGATGCTGGGGCTCTCCAGATGGCCAAGTAGCCAGTCAGATAAACTGTTAGGAAACTATCCACAGGTGGCAGAAATCTACTTTCTACCAATAGGCTGACAGAAATTAAGCATCTGCAAAAAAATTACTTCTGAGGAACCATTGATTTTTGAGATAGAAAAATCCCAACAAAGCATTTCTTTTAATTAACTAGTGTGCCAGTTACATACTGTGTGGTAAACTGGCCATTTACATTTTGCAGTCATGTTTCCAAACTTATTCCATCAAAAGTGAAAACGTCTAGAGGTATCTCATTAAATGTATAATGAAACATACCACAGAATTAGTTCTTTGCTTCTATGTAAATCTGAGCATCTTGCAACTGATGCTACTCTGTTAAGCAACTGCTTTAAGCTCTTGGCAGTTTAAGCTTGGGTAGGATTTTATTAGTGCATTTTTCTCTAACTAAAATGAATCAGCTGTGATGTAGGAGCTTCCCTATTCATCTTCTTTCAGAGCTATTTATGAAGAAATTGATGACAATCTTCTGAAGCCAGAAGTTAATAAGGATGCAGAATGCTGAGGGTGGACGTCAGTTCTTCTACTGAACACACATACGATTCTCTGGTGCCAGTACTATGCAGTTTCCATTCATGTATAAGTGAATAAGAGAACAATCTCGTATTTTCACATAACAAAAATAAGTATTGGAATATTAAGCCATGTGGAAGTGGAAAAGTTACTTGGATTTTTGCACCTTGATAATTTGTCTGAAATGTTCAGCTGTGTACTCTCCGTGGTGCCTTCCATTATTACTTTTAAGGTACTGGGGCCTTTGAAATATTTTTTCCAAACTCAACTGTGTATGAAGAAACACTTGACATCTGACACAAGCAAAGCAAACAGTCTCTTGCAAGTACAGAAGAAACCTTTTCCTCCAAGTTCACTCCATTGTACAGCTGTATCTTTTTATGCAGCAACCAAAACACCACTTGTATTTACAGAAATTCCATAATCCGATCTCTGTTTTAGCCTCATTACTGCCTGTGTTAATCTCCATGGAAATTGGTAAGGGCTTTCCCATATATATAAATCTTTGGGCCTCTTCCTAGTTGTCTAAAGACATTCAGAGTTAAGCTGCTTGCCTTTATATTCTGAATGCATGGAATATTTGGATGTTTTTCCTTGGTAGGAATCCAAGCTGGGGCATTAGGCACTGTCATCCATGATAACAGAACAGAAAAAGCTGCTTGTTCCTATGCTGTTGTTATTTGTAACTTTATGTACTCAGTAAATAATGGAAGGGGATCATTCATTTTCTCTTCAGCGTTCCTGCCTTGCTGAGACTTTTGTTCTGGTACAATGCAGATGAGCATTAGTTATTCAATAATCAAGTAGTTTAATAACTGTTAATAACAGTTCTGGCTTTTAATAAAGTGCCTTCTCTATTTTTATGCTGAATGTAAAATCTGCACTTAGATTCAGGAATACTGAATTGATATAAAACTTGAGATAATTGATAAAAAAAAAAAAAAGAGACCAGTTCATATTTGTAGTTGGTAGAAACTGTCAGCCTAAGTACTACGTTTTAAGCTTTCAGTATAATAACCTTGTGGGTGATACCAACTTCTCAGTCTGTTACACAGGTTCTGTAGTACAAAACTCCAAATAAAACCAACTGCTTACTGAGAATTCAACCTCTGTCACTTCTGGGTTTTTATCAGCTAATGGCTAACTCTTGAAATGCCAAAAGCAGGTTTGAAGTGTGAATCCAGGGTGGTGTAAGTACCTGGCTAGCAGTTCTGCAGCTCCCTGTTGGGCCAGCAGACCACCTTTTTTCTCTGAAAAAGACCATTTTGGAAAGTTGGGGGCAGGGGGTGGGCTCTATCAGCAGTGATCTACGGTGGGTGATTGCTAGCTGAACTTTTGCAGCCTGTTTTCAAAAAACAGAATGGTTACAGTTGTGAGAGAAATGGCTGGGTACTCAGCTTGGAGAATTTACTTTTGAAATATGCTCTATCTTTGTGCAAATTTGGGCTTTCAAACTTAGGGAAAACTTGCATTTTTAGGAAATTGGGCATTTGGGAACAGTCTCATGATGCTTTTGTCAGAGGATAGTCTTTTTCTTTTGAAACACTGGACCCAAATAAAGTAATCCATGGAAAACTGCCAGAACCAGGTAAACTTTCAAAAAGAAAATGGAGCTATAAAACAACTCAGGTAAGTGTTTTTTTGTTTGTTTTTTCCTAACCTAGACTCAAAGAATTATCTTGAGTGCATTTTTCTGAACACAACTGACTTAGGGATTATAATATAGCAAGGCTTTTTGGTATTTTTATATGGATATTTCACATATTATGCTGGACAAAAGGCATTGAAGGTAATGAAAGAATTTAAAAAAAATAACTTTAATAAATACACAGTGAGAATCTGACATTACTGTCATCCAGACTGTTTTAAGTTACAAGGATATTTAATACAATAATGCATTTTAAAGGTAGCTTCTATGTATTTTCAAAGACTTTTTTTAAATTTCTATTTGAACATAATTGAGATCATGTCATTGAAAGTTATTTCGGATACACCCATTATCTTTTTACAGTCAGAACAGACTAACATATATCTGCTGTTAGATCTTGCCTGTTGAGAGAAAGAACTGGCCTGGTAAATGAGACCCGGGGCTGAGAGTAGTTCCTGTTGAGAACGGGTAGGTCATTTAAACTTGCTCTGCAACTGGCTCATTTGCAAAGCAATGATAGAGCATTATTATCCCTACCACACACATAATGACAAAAAGCTACATAAATACAGGCTGACGTGTTCCAGTGGTAAACACTCTGAATACCAACGTGCACCTCTCATCCACTGATAAGCTCCCAGGCAGGCTTCAGCCTCTGACTGTGGTTGACTGGGGTTTGAGCAGACACCTGCACCTACCGAGTGGAATTCGGAACAGTTTTTTATGTGGTGCCTTTGCCCTCGAAGCATTTCATACAGAACCCTCGTTTCTCTCCATTTAGAAGTGCCTGGGATTCGGCCCCCTCAGTGATGAGAGAGCAGTAATTAGTACCAGGTGTAAATGACTTGAAACACAATATCCAAACTTTGAGAAATACAAACCCTGCAGAAAGTGCACAAAGACAAAAAGATTAGTTCCACCTGAAGTCTCAGACACTTCTACAAGGAGTCGACAATTCTGAAACGCTGACCTTTAATTTACTTCACCTGGCATTGAAATGATAGCAGCTCCAGAGCAGTCTGCTCTTACCAGATCAACTATTGATTCAGTAATAACTCAAGGGGCAGCAGCAGCATCTACTCCATCATCTTTTCCTCTGCTGCAGGAGGGTAATTTAGCAATTTACTCTAACTTTTGGCTTGAGATTTCATGAATTGATTAAATGTGTTACTTTATTATAAATGTTTAATCACTGAAAATACAAGGTAAATAGAAGTTATTCTTCAGTCGGCAATGCAACTTTAAATATTGACAATTTACTTCAGATAATTAACTTTAATTCAATTAACTTTAGATAATTAACAATTTAATTTAAAAATAACTGAATATCCCAGTTTTCCCTTGGATTTAGAGACCTGCTTCCTCACATTCACATAACATGTATCGTTATAAGAGATGACAGCTGCCTTTAGAGAGTCCTTGTGTTCCGATGATAAAAATACTGTTCCTATGGCAATTATAACTGCATGAGTTAAAAAAAAAAATAGAAAAAAAATCTGTCAGAACAGCAGCATGTGCCCACAGTGGTTTAATAATAATATAATTTCACATTGCGCAGTACTGTGTGTAGTTTTCAGTGTCTCTTTCCATAGGAAAATGGTCTCGCAACTGGTGGTCACGCAGCAGAAGTCCAATTGTGTAGATTGGACTATTACTGATACCCTGGAAGTGGTAACTTTTGTCCTTCCTTTGCTTCAAAAAATGTGTAAGAGAGTGTGATCAAATCAACTTTAGCCATTTTAGGGTCCTCTGCAAATTCTGGATCAATGTAGAAAAAGACAGGCATGTCCACTTCCTCTTGAGGATTAAGCCGCTGTTCTTCAAAACAAAAACACTGCAGTGGAGAGGGAAGAGAAAAAAAGCTAAAGTCACTATGGAGGTTCTCTGCCAAGGTGAGGAAGCACTGGATCTTTTAAATCAATTCTTATTCCCAGTACATTCCTGGCATCCAAAGAAGGATGAGCACTTGGGATAACAAGTGCCATCTCAGCAACGTTGACACCCAAGACAGCAATTTTGTTCCCCATGCATTATAAGAAGAAATAATCTTTTTAGTAAGTTTTCCAGAGGTACAAACTGGACAGGATACCCTACATCATTAACAAATACCTTCAGTCACTTCTGCTAACATACATTAGGGAACCTGTCTAATTTAAAATGCTGTGGCCTGTCTAAAAGACAGCAAGTCTCAGAATAAACATGACCACTTGAAAATTTGAAGGTATTTTCTCATATACCTAGAATAATGGATTCCAGGTTTGAAATTCACAATCCTCAGTTGTGGATAACAATTCCATTACATTCATATAAAGAAAAATGCAGTAAATTGTTCACACCTACTTGTATTTTATTGAAATACTGCCCTGCTTCAAAGGGCACAACATTGTAGGTAGAGATTCCAATGATTGGCTTGTCAGTAGGATTTTTTTGCTTATAAAATGCCAGTGCAGTCTCTCCTGGTACCACCTGTTAAAAAAAAAAAATCACATGAAGATCGCTAATATCCTGGAGCCCTCTATCCCTCAAAGTCATTTACTTTAAGCTGAGATTATTTTTTTTTGCCATTTCAAATTGATTACTCCTGTGCTTCACTATCATCTTGGTTATGGGTAGCTCACCCCTGTCTAAATTAAAAATATTAGAAGCATCCATATACATGCATTGATTAGTTTACCACTGCACTTCTACTATTCTTGGCACTTTATCAGTGCGCAGAGCTTTAACAGGCATATTTATATAGGGCAAACTTTTCCATTTTTAAGATTATTTTCTTTAAATAATGGAATTGGAAACCAATTAAGAAACAACTGATTTTGACAGCCTGTATCAGGAGCCACTTTTGAAACTGTAAAATGGGATTTTAAAAAAAAAATCATTTTTATAAGAACAATCTTGGAAGCTGAGTGGTAAGAAACTAAAGTACCAGCCTGGCACAACTGTGCAGTGTAAAGGAGCTAGCTAGAGTGGAAGCTTTTTTTCACACTTGTACAGAGTAAATCTGTTCTGGACAGTTGTAAACAGCTTTAAATCTCTTCTGGCAGCTCCATGGGGAAAACGAAACAACTACAGGAAAACTGCAGCACAGCCAGCAATAAAAGCCGGCAACAACTTTGTGGTCCGAGAGGTGAATTCTGCCTCTCCCTGCAGTGGGGAAATGCAATTCTGAATGGTACTGTGTGCAAGCAGCCCTGGCCTAGCACCCATTCGTGTTTTTTCTGGATAAAACACCCCGATGTGTGAGTCAACCCCCAGGACCAGGGTGACAGCAAAGGGCCTGAGCACAGTCTAAGCTTCTCTTTTGGGCTCCGTGTGGTAGTTGTGCGTTACGGAGAGCAGGGGCACTCACGAAGATCTCGGTCTGCTGCGGCCTGAAGTTCCACTGCAGGCTGGAGTGCACGTCCGCGTTGAACGTGACCTTCACGACGCGCTCCTTGACGGGCCTCATGCTCTCGATGCGCTCCGCGTCCTGCCCCTCGCCCGTGGTGCCCCCGAGGCCCGTGGCCTGCGGACACGGAGGGAGGTGAGTGCCCGAGCGCGCGGGGCCCTCCCGGCGCGGCGGCCGGCGGGGCGG